TGAGAATTTCATTCATTAGATAGTAATAAAAGAGACTTAAAAATTTGACTGTCAAGCCGAATGACGTAGCCCACTTTCAAGTACAGTTCTAAGAGAAGGAATTGATCCGCCTATTTCAACAGAGGAGAGCAGGTCATTCAACAGGAAGATTCTAAAATTGCGGAGACTTGATTTGCTCAAACAGCTGAGTATCGAAAACAGGCTATAGGGTGGGCCAGCGGGTAGGCAGGTGAAAGCGTGCACTTCCTTGACACATCATATTTGAAGAGAACAGTCATTTTCTTTCCTGGGGAGAAAGTGTTTAAGAAACCAGGTGCATCTTTCAGCTAAAAGAAGCAAAACTCCGTTTGATCAAAACACAAAGCAACCTTTTTATAACCCCTAGTCTACCCAAATGTAGGGTTTTACTTTCTACTTTAAAAGTCAAACTTAACTGGACAACTCTTGAGTGTTTAAACACAAAGTAAAGTTTTCAACAGTAACATTTCCACATGCACATGATCAACAAGAGAATCAGGACTTAGTATCCCTATTCTCCCGGTGCAGAGATGCCTTGCTTCAGCTTTTCCTTCTTCATCTTCTTCTTCGAGATCGGCTTCTTCTTCTTTGGAGGCAGGGTCTTCTGTGCATATGTGTAGAGTACATAGTTGCCAATTAGGAATGTCAAAAGTAGTCCTCCAACAACCAGCAGCACGATCAACCCAGGGTTGAACCCTTTAATTTCAGCATCATTTATTTTCTGTTTAGTGTAAAAAATAGCGTTACAATTGCATTACTCAAACATTTCATAATGAACAATAACAAGGCCTCCTGAGACACACAAGACCAAATCCCAATACTTGTACAATGCAATTCAACTTCAACATGCCTTTCCCAATTGAATTATGCTCTTAATAATGAACACAGAAATTATCAGGCCCATTAGTGGAAGCACAGAATCACCAGAAAGTCACACAGACAGGTTTTCATTTAGTACTCAAACTCTTTCACAAGATATCTAAGTACAATTGTTATATTCCTACTTCATGTCTTATTGCTTGCAGATCCTCATGATATGCAAACATCAATCACAGTGGCAGAAAACTTCCAAATACTAATCATAATGTTGCCTAAATACTAATCATTATGGACTGATTATACTAGTCAAACGGAACTTCCCAAAGATGAATTCTTGCGCAACAAATATTAGGAAAAAACTAGAAATTTTCACTAATATGCATATGTTGCTACATGAATTAAGGACAATACTTCAAGCAAGTAAAATATTACTTAGCATGTAAAACTTTCAAAAGAATTCACACCTCAAAAGTGTAGAAATTTGAATTTCTGATACCATTCAAGAGTTATTACTAAATGTCTATCAACTTATGTTAGCACTCCAGAATTGCAGAAAACAGAATTTTCAAATTGCTACCTATGACTTCAAACAGATTTACCACTTCACATAGATTGCCCAAGCACTCATTAACATGTATCTCTTGGTGAATTAGCCTATCTTATTTGATTTAATGCAGACTAACTTAAATATTCTTAAACTTGACAAAATATGCAAAAGAGTTAGCAAAGTTTAAGAAAAATCCTTTACAAAGTGAGAGAAATGATCAAATCCAATCACGAAAGTATTTCATAATTTCTAGTAACTGAACCAAAAGATACATCTGAATAATTTGAGGCAAAAACTGCTCAACCGTGAATACGTTTGAAAAAAAAATCAATTTGTTTTTGTAAAATTCATCTGGAAATTTTTATAATTATGCAATAGTCCAAGCATGAAAAATAAAAATTAAGGTCCAAATTAACTTAAGTGGAATTGAATCAATACATTTTAGAGTTCATCTAGATTGATCAGATTTGAAATGAACTATAATGGTTTAAAAGAGAAAAAAGTCATCTCAAATGGAAATGACTTTATGAAACGAAACTTCCAAAATAGTTCTATTTAGAAAAATCACTAGTCCTAAAACATGCAATAAACTTCATTTACATTAAAAAATTGGACAACAAGATTAGTTGCAAGTCCAGCTTACCCCTTCCCGCAAGAATACCATTGCAGAAGTTATTCAATTGTGTGTTTATATATATCAATTCCAGCTTATCCAGAAAAACATAATGAACCACTTTTTTTTCCTTAAGAAAAGATTCAATTTGCAGATTTCATCTAATTGATAACTTCCTGTCTCTCACATTGCTCAGGTAGACAATTTCCTCATACACCTCAAACTCAGATAGTATCATATATCAAACAAAATACGCCTACATTTACCAGGAAGTAAACTATCTTTTCTCGCAATGCATTTCTCATATTGAAAGAAAAGGCCTAGGTATTTTCTCTAAGAAAATAAAAACAGAAATCTTACAAGGAATTTCAGGAATACCGAAACCAACTCATGAAACAACAGCAGATGACGATCAAAGACGGATTGAATTTCCACATAGAAAACCACAAGGAAAGAGAACAAAAGGGAACCAGAAAGATTGGCGCAAAACACTAGGCAAGCGACAATTAGGAGAAGGCAGATCTCATAAACAGTGTCCTTAAACCGATCAAATAAACACAGATCTCGATTGTTATCCAGTAAGAAACGAGCAATCAATTTTAATTATTTGAGTTAAAAGTGAATTACCACGCGATTGATGTTGGGAGGGACCCTGTCGGAGAAATCAACGAACTCTTCCTCCATGAATGTGACCCAAAATTGGCCGACGAGCTCCGCACGGTACGAATAGGACCCTGAAGATTCGAGAAAAGAGAGATCTGTACCTGATGCACAGGTAGAGAGAGAGAGAGTCTCATTTTATAGCAAGCTGCACAGAAGATTTTCATTTTGACCCTTATTGTTTTATATATTTCTGATTTTTTTCCCCAAACAACAACATTTTTTAAATATATTTTTAATGGTATTTTTTTAAAAAAAAGAAATATTTTATTTTAAAAGTCTAAAAATTTAGTTTTGCCATTAGATCATTTAGCATCCCTACTTTCTTAAAGATTATCTTAAAAATTTTTATTTTAATGTTAATTTTATTATTTCCTTTTTTTTTTTTAATTTTGATATTTTTTATCTTTATACTAAAAAATTCATACGAATTGTTTTCGTAAAAAGAAGATATGGTTAGCATCTCCTCTGACAGAGATGGAATAGCCTTCGAGCTTTCCTATTAACACATCGCAATCCACTTTCTAAGTGGATCTATAACCAAAAAAATTCACACGAATTAGATCATGAGTAAATTTACTATTGAGTAAATTTTTAAATTTAATGATAAATGTATTTGATTAGTAGTCTTTAAAACTAATAGTCATAGGAATATGAGAATTTAAAGTTGACAATTTAGAGATATATAAGCGTTTATACATACATATACATGCAAATGTTAACTATATAAATACTAAAATAAGGTTTTTCTCCTGCAACGTCAATATGTGTAAAACTTTTGGCGGTAATTTTAATATATAATGATAAAATGAGATGGTTTCCACAAAGATAAACTATATAACGTTCAAACGTATTTTTTTTACTTTTGAAAATATTAGATTAATTGAATTAAAATTATTTTTTTATGGAATTATCATGGTTGAAACTCGTCTTTGCAAAAGCATAATTGAGTACCCCAAATTTTGTTCCATTATAAGATATTTATTAACGTATCTTTTTTTTTTTATTTTCAATATCCAAAAATTACATGTGAATTGATCACACGAAAAAATAGATAAAATTAAGTTACTTATAAGTCAAATATAAAAAATATATAAAAATATTTCCATACATACACCAATTTAAAAAATACTTATTATATATGATGATACAAATTTTGTGAACTTGTGGCACTTTCCTTATCTTAATTGCAATGAAAGAGTCTATTTAAATTTGATAATTATGCTTTCCTTTTATGCAAAATCAAGTGTTGTTAAAAAAGCAAAAAGATTTCAAAGAACAAAAAAGCAAAAAGGTGATAATGAGAGGAAAAAAGAAACGGAATTTAGTTGGGTTTTTGAAAAAGACATGTAAAAGCTTTATAGTATAGAGATTCATTGTATTGCCCAAAAATCAAATCAAATCAATAAATGATTTCATTTGTATTTAAAATTAGTTGTTATATTTTTTTTAATTGAAGTAACTAATTCTTTGTATCTTGATATTGTACAAAATTATTATTTATTTTTAACATATACATAACTCTAAAATGTGGGGAAAAAATATTTAATACGATTATAATTATAAATACCCTCAAACATTAAATTAATGTAAACCAAAATTTTCCTAAAAGTGGGTTATTTTCAACATCTCACCAATTTGGATACATTCAATGCACTTGAGTCACAAATAGTTAGGGCGCACACACTTGCAAGTGCAGGTAGATAGTATAGGTGTACAGGAGACCACATCATATATGCACGTAGGGCAACTAGTATAACCAAAATGCAAGGGTGCACAAGTTAATTACACATTGAGAGCACTGTTACAAGACTAGTTGGTGATGTGTATGT